CAGCAGTCAGGAAATCAGATGTCTATTGCACTTGGCAAATGTGCTGCCAAAGACCTCTTTAAAGGAGCAAAGATGTCATTTTGAAGACTATGGTGCACCTAACCCAAGCCATCGTATTTTCATTCGCCTCATATGCATGTGAAAGCTGGACAATGAATAAGGAAGACTGAAGAAGAGTTTATGCCTTTGAATTTGGTGTTGACAAAAAATGCTGAAAATACCATGGACTGCCAGAAGAACAAACAAATCTGTCCTGGAAGAAGTGCAGCCAGAATGCTCCTTGGAAGCGAGAATGGACAGACTTTTTCTCACCTACTTTGCTCATGTTGTCAGAGGAACCATTCCCTAGAGAAGGATATCACGCTTGGTAAAGTGGAGGGTCAGCAAAAAAGGGGACAACCTTCAACGAGATGGACTGACACAGTGGCTGCAATGATGGGCTTAGGCATAGCAAGGATTGTGAGGGTGGTGGAGGACCAGGCAGTGTTTTGTCCGTAGTGTTTTGTACTATGAGTCAGATCAGGTTTAGTGGCACCTAACAGCACTCTGGTTTTTAGTCTGTGTTTTCTTTACAGGTATCTTCCTCTAGTCAGTGGATCTGAGCTGCTGCCAAACCCATTATTTGTTCTTCATGTTTTTATCTTCCCCTTGCTCTCCCCTACCCACAAGGTGAACAAAAGTAGTGATAGTAACAAACAAAAAAGGTGCAAGAAGGAAAATGAGTAATTTTTTAATTAAAAAGGAAGTTCTCTGGTGTTGTGTTACCATGTGGTACAGTTCTGTTACCATCATCGTATCAGCTTCAGTTCTACTTTCTTAATACATAAAAATTTTGAAAGTGTAGGAAACAATCATGGCAGGAGATCCTATTCCTGAACAGCAAATTTTGGCTAAATAATTAAGTTAAACTTGAGAGAGCTAACTAACAATTAATTGATTTCATGCCAAAACTTTATGCCTTTGATTTAATATATTTATTGTTTATTAAACACAGTACTAATAACTAGGAATACAGTGATAAGCAAGATAATAGAACTCATATCATATAGGTGAGGCAGACAATTAATTATAACCCACTGTAATGAGAACTGTGCTCTGTAGCCGCAGTTGTGGATGTAGAATTAACCAAGATCTGAGAAGTCAAGGTTGGCTTTCTAGAGGCAATCATATTTAACCTGAGATCCAAAGAATAAATAGAAGTTAGCTGGGTGGAGGAAACCAAGGGTGGGGAGTGTTTCAAGCAGAGGATCAGCATGAACAAAGACCTAGAAGCAAGAGAAAGACCCTAATACGCTCAAAACCAAAAAAAAAAAAACCTGCTGCCACTGAGTCAATTCCATAATGACCCCATTGGGTTTCCAAGGCAGTAAATCTTTATGGAAGTAAATTGCCCCATCTTCCTTCCACAGAGCAGCTGTGAACCGTAACCCTGTGGTTAGCAGTCAAATGCCTTAGGTACTGTGCCACCAGAGCTCCTTGACACACTCAGGGAAACTAGAAAAATGAAAAATCCACCAAGGCTGAGCATAATGCTTAAGAGGAGAGAAGCAAGAGATGAAGCTACAAAGGGAAACAGGAACCAGCTTTAAAATAATACTAATAATAAAACATCAGCCTTTTACAGGCTCTGGAACCACATTCTTTGGACTATCTCATTTAATCCTCAACATCCTTTGATGGTGAGACTCAAGGAAATTAAATAATTGGCTGCCTAGGCCACAGAACTACAGAATGCCAGGTCTGAGTCTCAGATCCATATCTATCAGATCAAAAAGCTCATCCTAGCCACTCTTACCCTCTACCTGTAAGCCTCGCTATGTCCTGTCAGCTCAGCTTACACTGGGTCATGTTTTATTTTAGAGGCATCACTTAGAATAGTGTTTCTCAAACTTAGATATTATATAGCTCTTTTTTGGGAATGGGATAGTTCTTTTATTTTTTTATTATTGTGGTAAAAATATATATAACAAAACATTCCATTTCAATTTTTGAATTTTCACATGTACAATTCAGTGACATTGATTAATTCACCATGTTGTACTTCCATTCCCCTATCCTTTTCCAAATTATTCCACCACCATTGACAGAAACTCAGTGCCCCTAAGCAATGACACCCCTGTACCCTTCCCTCCCACCCCTGGTGTAACCATTAACAAGCTTTGGTCTCTGTGCATTTGCCTGTTTCATGTAAGTGGGATAATACAGGTTTGTCCTTTTGTGACTGACTTATTTCATTCAGCATAACATTTTCAGCGATCATCCATGTTGTAGCATACATTGGGACTTCATTTCTCTTTATGGCTGCGTAATACTCCGTTGTGTATCTGACCACTTTTTGTTTACCCAGTCATCTGTTGATGGACGTTTATGTTATTTCCACCTTTTGGCTATCATGAATAGTGTTGCTATGAACGTTGGTGTACAGGTTTCTACTTGTGTTTCTGCTTTCTGTTCTTCTGGGTATATACCTAAGAATGGGATGGCCGGGTCATATGGTAGTTCTGTATTTAACTTTTTGAGGAACTGCCAAACTGTTTTCCACAGGGACTATACCATTTTGCGTTCCCACCAGCAATGGATGAAGGTTCCAGTTTTTCCACCTCCTTGCCACACTTGTTATTTTTCCTTTTGATCATAAGCATGCTAGTGGGGGTGAGGTGGTATCTCATTGTGGTTTTTAATTTGCATCCAGCCCTGGTGCATAGTGGTTAAAGCATTCATCTGCTAACCAGAAGGTCAGCAGTTCAAACCCACCAGCTGCTTTGAGGAAGAAAGATGAGGCAGTCTGCTTCTGTAAAGATTTATAGCCTTGGAAACCCTGTGGGACAGTTAATACTCAGTCCCATAGGGTCGCTGTGAGTTGGAATTGACTTGATGACAGTGATTCTTGTTTTAATCATGTTGAATATGTTTTCATGTGTTTATTGGCCATTTCCTTATCCTCTTTGGTGAAATACTTATTCAAGCCCTTTGCTCATTTTTTGAGCAGATCTTTTTTTTTTTTTTTTTAATTAGGATTTGGGTGAAGATTTACAGAGTAAATTCACTTTTCATACAGCAGTTCACATATACTTTGTCTCATGTCATTG